AAAGCTAATCTAAATTTCATGGATTGATTATGGCATCGAGTAAGACAAATGCTCCAAGGCTGTCACCTGTGAACCTGCCAGCAGCACTTAGTATGTGCCTTGAAAGGAATTCCAAGTGAAACCTCTCTCTGACACCTCTCTATCGACTTCCATGCCCAGCAGCATGCCAGCATACATGGGAAGTTGCAGTCTGAAGCCGGCACGGGAAACCCAAAACGCTATCACCTGAGCATCACATGATTGCTACCGCTCATTATTGCGCTCGCCAATGATCGGCCAAAAATTTATAATAGTAGTAGTTGTTGTTAGTTCTTTTTGAAAAGCTGTAACTCTTAGGTAAAAATGATTCTTCCTTTATTTCTAACTCTAAAAAGGTAACCTCTTAGGTAAAAAATGATACTGCCGTACAGTCTCTATAGGGAAGAAGGCCAATGATGCCGTACAGTCTCTATAGGGAAGAAGGCCAATGATGCCGTACAGTCTCTATAGGGAAGAAGGCCCATGAACAAGGCCCTCAAGTCGTACGGCCTAAAGCGAAATCTATCCGTACTGGAAGTGTGATGTTAACTACTTATTGAAAGATGGTGAACTCAATTGGTACTTGCATGCTTCTGAATAAGTCATAACAGAATTCTGTTATTACTATTACAGGCTAATTCGATTTAGCCTGTCCTGTACATACAGACAGGAGTTGTGAAGAACAATGCTGACAGTGCGAGCTGGTGGTTCGAAATGTCTAGCTTGAAGACAGCATGAGAGATTCTTTGCTAGTAAAACCTCAAGTAGATGGCTTAAGTGTGTAGCATATGTCTTTCAAATTTATAACAGGGTTTAAGGAAGGGGATTGAGTACATATAATTGTCACTTTTTAGAAAGGAACAAAACATGAACACATTGCCAGCATATGACCATTGGGAACATGACTGAATTTACATATATAAGTGGCAATTCATGATCCGTCATGCTTCGCAAGGAGCATGACAACTGTCATGACCATGACTCTGCCTCATGACCGGTAACATGACCGGTCATGAGGCCTCATGAGTGGTCATGAGGCAACATGACCAGATCTATGACAGGAAACCCCCCGCATGACCACATCCATGACCAAGTCTTTCCCCGAGTGCGTCACTGGCTCTACCTGCTAAGCGGAATCTGCAACAATTTCTTTTAAACCCTAAAACCCTAAAACCCTAAACCCTAAGTATATGACAGCATATTGATCTTTCGCCTTGTAGCGTGCTTGATGCTGTGTGGTAAAGCACTGTGTTCCGCGTCTGCGTCCATTTTGCCTGCCAAAAGTGGTGAACCAACTTAATCAAATGCAAATTTACAATGTCATGAAAGCGAAAATGTAGGTAGTGCTGTTACGCACTTTTCGGCGGCGGCAAGATTTCGCACGGCATCATCGCACGACCGATCTGCGTCGCTGTTCAGCCAGTATTTAGCCCAGTACATAAATAGCAAATACTGTGTATTACATATGACTTCTTCTTTTCACAATTTGTAAGGTTAGTTTGGCTTCTTTTCCTTCGCCGTTATCGTTCTGATAGACTGATCCTTGAGTCAATACATTCATTAAATCCTTGGACTGCTAGTGAATATAAAGCTAGTAAATATTGTCATTGTCGGTACAATCGCTGACGTTCAGCATTGTGGTCATGCTCGCCATGACCACGACACACTATGACGACGGGTGATCGCCTTAAGTCCGCGTCAGTTCGCGTAACGGTGCGAATCTTAGCGCTAGGTGCGAATGAGCATGCTTTTGTAACGCAAAGAGCTAACGCACAACGGCTATGAAAAAGCGGAAATCGGCCCTCCTGGCTAAAATTTTTAAATTTTATAATTTTCAGATTGTAAAGGTTCATTTGGAAATAAACTTGCGTCGTTTTGGTCGACTTAAGCAATTCAATCCGTGCGTATGTTGAAACGCGAAGCATACGCGCCTGTGTAGCAAGGCGATACGCATGCGATTCCATATTGCGATTCGTGCGTGTGGGAGACAATGCGTAAAGCAATACGCGTCCAATCGCACATCAAACGCATACAGTCCGCAAGGCTATTCACATGCGAATACATGTTGTGCGTATGAAGGCTGATTGCATACTTAACGCGGCCTAACACACACCAAACGCACACATGTCGCAACGCAATTCACATGCAAACAAATGTTGCATTTCAAGCGTATGAAGGCTCGTTGTGTCAAGTTTACTGCGGCCTAACACACCAAACACACACCAAACACACACCAAACACACACCAAACACACACCAAACACACACCAAACACACACCAAACACACACCAAACACACACCAAATACACACCAAACACACACCAAACACACACCAAACACACACCAAACACACACCAAACACACACCAAACACACACCAAACACACACCAAACACACACCAAACACACACCAAACACACACCAAACACACACCAAACACACACCAAACACACACCAAACACACACGATTTACTTTGATTAATCGCATGACATAACAATTCACATGCGATGTTTTATGTGTTGGTCGCATACTCAGTTCGGTAACCTTCACGCATTCTCATAAGAGAATAACATGCTTGGCAGCACTCAGGGGGCCCTTCTGCAAACGAGATCGCATCAGGCGCAGCCTTACATCGCACAACGATTCATCATACCATCAACAGATGCCAGAAAGGCGGCGGGACATATGCCGCATGCGAACACGCACGCAATTAGAACCCTGCTGGCTGTGAGGCAGTTGTGGGGACATGCCTGGGAGGCTGAAAGGGCTTCCAGACGCATAAATCGCATCAGGCACCGTCTTACACCGTGCCAACGATGTATGACACCATCAACTATTTGCCGAAATGTGGCGGGGAACGCTGCATCCAACACGCACACAGTTAACGCCGTGAGATGTGTCGGTGGCTGTGAGGCAAGTGGGGACATGCCTGGGAGGCTGAAAGGGCATAAATCGCATCAGGAGCCATCGTACGCTGCAACAACGATGCATCGTACCATCAACTAGTTGCCAGAAAGGCGGCGGGAACGCGGCTTGATCAGCCATGCTCGCTAGGCAACCATCATGGGGAAGGGATGTAAGGGTGTCCCCCTCTCGGATGGGTCGAACTACTCCCAGTGGCTCGGCGACTAAGGCGATTTCCTTGCAACATCCATGTTGAAGACTACATCAACACCCGTCGCCTCCGGGCCGCAACACCCAAGACACCCTGGAGGACGCACAGGCGCTCGGCTACCTGCATCTGTCCTGTGAACTGCCCATCAAGCAGTTGCTCAGGAATTGCCAGACCACTCTCGCCGCCGTGAAGCTCTTACAGCGACAGTTGTGTTCTGCATCCCAGGCCCGGCTGAGCCTGTTGGAGCCGCAGAAGCAGCTGAGCATGCACGATGGGAAGACAACCACTGACTTCGTTCAGCAGGCAGAGCAGCTCTGTAGCAATATAATTGTGGCCGGCGGCCAGTGGGACGAGAGCACGATGCACCACGCCATTCTCCATGGCCTGCCTCCGCAGTGCACCATCACCATCGAGTTCACAATGTATCAGCCCAACTTAACGAACCCACAGCTCGTGCTCATGCTGCATGAGAAGGAGAACAACCTTAAGACCCAAGCAAGCAAGACAAGCCTGGTGGGAGCTGTCGGCCCTGGCCGTGCTGCCAGTGGAATCGGCAGCACTGCTGGTGCTGCAGGCACCGTGGGGGCCGGCGACACCTGTCATTACTGCAGACAGCCTGGTCACTATGTTCACGAGTGTCCCGTTAAGCAGGTGGACGAGTCCGTCGGCCTTCACCGCAGCAACACATTCGAGCAGCTGCACGCCACCGGCAACATCAGTTGAGGCAGCTGCAACCGCCACTGTGACGGTGGCGGCAGGGGCACTGGCAGCGGCAATGGCGGTAACAGCAGGGCCGACGGAGCATGTGAATGTGGCCGTGCTCGATGCGGCAACAGCCACCGTGGTGACACTGCAGGCGGCAGCAGTGGCAGCGGCTCGGGCAGCAGCAGAAGCAGCTCACACCAGAGCCGTGCCCCACGTCTGTATTTTTTTCGGTCGTCTATATCCTGAAGACCCGTCTATTAGACGAGTCATCTACAATAGTTCATCTAAAGTCCAGTCGTCTATGCATGTCGTCTATAGTCGATTCATCTATTATAGACGAAGGATAGACGATGGGTAGACGGTGAGAGGAGTTCAATATGCTGGAGAGTGTCTGCTTGGGTTAAACCATGCCGCTGAGCTGATGTCTGTTCTGCATCAATGTTGGCAAGGTTCTGGCAGGCTAACACTGCCTGGCATGTAACGATTATCGCCATACTTACAAAACCCCAGCACATGCTGTGGGGACCAGGCAGTGCCCAGCCTCTCCCACTTCCTTACCACAAAACTGCAGCAGTTTGAGATAATTGGGCAGACTTCAGTGAAGCCCATCCCTCATCGACAAGCCCACAACAAAGGCTCGTCATGGTCCTTTATAACTGCAATGTCTGGCAACTTCCCAGCACAGGCCGGCTGGTTTTGAAAACTCTCACCAGCACAGGCTGTGATGAACAGCCATTCCAACTCCACCACCCTTGCCATGTATGCATGGATGCGTGGTGTAACACCACCCATAACCCGCAAGTCAATGCAAGATCATTAGCTGACAATAAAAGCTGTTGTTTAATATCCTTCTGCTTCCTGCCGAGTTGCACAAATCTGACCACAGCATTGCTGACATCCATTTTGGCGCCACGACATTAGCATATGCAGTTGGATATGCTACGAAATTCTATGATAGCTTATGAGCAACCGCAGAGCTTTTATCATTTTTGTCGGTGGTCTTGAGCAGCTGTGTCGTACTCGCGTCCCCTACGAGGGACGCGAGTACGGCAGATTGAAATTGAAGAAGATTCGTCTATCAGGGAAGGTTGTCAGCATTGCCCATCAGGCCTCGGTTTATCTGCTTAATTTAAAATCATGGATTCCACTTTTATTTTGAACCTTCTCGATGAAAATTGGTCGGCTTTTGAAGAGCAGGCAGTGTTTATCACGAAAAATGGTATTGCTTTTGATGCTGAGCTGGTAGCGGAACTTGTTTATGTAGTGCAGCCACAGCTAGTGAAGCAGTGCCCAGGCCTCGGCGAGACATTCTGCGCATTCCTGGAGGACGTTACAGCAAATCTATTTAGTGTAATTTCCTATAATTAGATAGTGACACAGGTGTCGCAATTACTTCACTGGTTATCACATGTGTTATCGAGTCAACGCTGCCTGGCTGCTGCGTTGCCGGTGGAGACGTCGCCAACAATGATAAATTATTCACAGACAATGAGCCAGTGGTGAATGTGGAGTGCAGGCAGAGTGTTCCTCTTGACGAGCCATCAATGGGCACGTTCGAGATGGGCGTCTCATAGCTTGGCCACCTAGACAAGTATGCAGAGGCAAATAGTGAAAAGCCACCTGAGAAAAGTTTGTCTTCAGAGGTGGAGACCTTCCTCGCGGCGAACCTCTCGGGTGCGTTTATACCAGCATTGGCCAGTGTTACCAGTGTTTACCAGCATTACTCACTGTTTCTAAGCATGCTGTTTTTGGTGCCTAGTTGATAGCAAGCCACAATGCTTACTGCAAGTTGAAATGTGATGCCTGCAGGTTGCAAGCTCCAGGAGTTTTTGCGCCTGTTCAAGCAGTTTCCAGGCGAGGCCTACACCCCATCTGCAGATACTTTGAAGGGTATCTACAATTCTTTGCGGGACTACCACCTTGGGAGCGACTTCGAGCACGTGGACATTGGCCCCAAGCTTGGCCTTCAGGACACAGTGGTCGTCTCTGTAAGGAATGACCCCATGGCTTTGGTAAAGGCCATGTTTGCAAACAAATCTGGCAGGGCTGTCCTCGGTCCGAAGCTGGTAATGGATCAGGATGGCCAGCGGGTTTTTAATGAGATGTGGACGGCGGAGAAGTGGATGGAGGCCAGGTAAACTTAGACTGGGGGTTGACATGCCCACAGGTAAACTTAGACTGGGGGTTGACATGCCCACAGACACATGTCAAACAAATTTGTGTCATGCCTAACGATGCAGTGCACCTGGGCCAAGCTGTCGCCCAT